AAAACAGGGTGCAGATCACGTCCAATATAAGAAAGGCGAAAATGGTGCAACAATACCTAATATAAATAAAACGCCGATTTGAAGTTTTTCAAAAAAAATCACTCTTATAGGTACCTAATAATATACATTTATGTATATAACAATAACTATTCAACGTACGATTGATTACAACAATTGATTGAAACATTAAAAATTACACGAAAAAGAGGAAATCTAACAGCAGTTACATCTATTAGGAAGTGGCAATGTTTACTCTGGAGTTATGCTTAACCCGGGGGTAACTTGCTCTTGAAAAACCGGCCCTGTATGAACCAAGATAAAAATACCCTTGCTTCCAGTTGTCTTCAAAATGTCCTATTTTTTCAATAAATAATTTCTAAAAATGCTGTTTTTATACCACATATTTAAACGTACTGGAATGGCGCCATTGTATTACGTAGACACCCATTACCGACCAATAGTAGGAATCGTTCACAATGGCTCTAACGCACATCTTTTATGCTTTCCTTGTCTGAGCTCTGAGGAGTGACAATAACGAAATTCCTCAATCTTTATTTGCACTTTTAACTTTTATGCATTATGCTTATGACAAAATTGAATGTGCGCATGCTCAAAGCTGAAATTCAAATTTTTCGACTATCTTTTTGACTTTTATACACCTAATCTCACTTTTTTGAGGGATTTGTTGTTGATTTTGCGAGTTGTGTTTGGTCAGTTTGGTGTTGTTTCTTGTGGAAATCACAAGGGAAATCATGAGTTTTGAGGAGGGATTTTTCATCGATACGATGGAACAGTCAGTGGCGTAGCTAGGCTTCAGCGATGTCGGCTACTACCGACGGCCTCGCGCCCTAAGGAGCACCGCAAAAAATAGGTTATCGAACACGAAATTGGCACTTTTTGATTAGGGATCAATTAGGTGGAGGAAATATTTGAACATTCAAATGATATCAAACAAGTTTTGAGTGTTGAGTGTTGATGTCGCTCCAAATAAAAAAAGTTTGCTCTACCTATTGCACCTAAATATACTGGAGATTGTCGAAAATTGGCATTGAGACAAGGTTATTATACAAATAGAAAAACATTAGGAAATACGGACGAGTCAACCTCAAACCACGTTCGGTCCAAAAGTAAGAATAAAGTTTCAACGTCAGTAGCTGAATTCAGTTACCTTCCAATTGACGAGGATGTCCAAATTAAACCACGACCTCGAACTTTGCTTGGAATAAGCATACTTGGGCAGGGCATCGTGGTACAGCTATCATTGATACCGCCGCAAAACAGAGTGTAGCCAGCAATCTTTATTAATTACTTGAAAATCATATTCAAAAACTCAACAAACAAACAATTCTGGTGAAATTAGCTGATGGTAGTGCGAAACTGAATGAAGTGCTTCTTACACGGGTAAACGTCATTGTAGAACAACGTCTTATCCCGACTACTTTCATCGTATTGCCATAGAAGCACCAACTACCTTCTTAGGTATAGATTTTTTGCAGGATGCAAAAATAACAATAAAAATTCCTGCCTGATGCTTTGTGGAAATTTAATTTGGACTCAGAAGTTGAGTATATATTAAATTTTGTAAGTCAATCGATTGCGTCTTCAGTAGAATTGTCTAGTTTTGAAGGTTTGCGAGAAGATGAAGGTACAATGCTTAATCAAGCAGAGCGTGGTACTCTTAGTGCTTTAATCAAAGAAATAAGGATACCTTCAAGCCGGGGAGAGGCCCTACTCTCTATGCAGTTCATTATATAAAGACACTTGATCATCCGCCTATAGCTGTTCCACCATGCCGTTTATCTCCTGCACGTAAGCAATTACTGAAAACTGAAATTGACAAACTCTTGGAGGATCATATAATTGAAGAATGCGAGAGTCCATGGGCAGCCCCGGTGGTTATGGTACCCAAAGGTCCAGATGGTAAAAACATGCGTGTTTGTGTGAACTATCAACGACTAAATGCAATTACAGTTAGTGACAAGTACCCGCTATCGCGTATGGATGATCTTCTTCACTCGACTAAAAGAACTTTTCACATGTTGAATTTGCGTTCGGCATATAACCAGATAAGTGTTCATGGACCTGATCGTGATAAAACAGCCTTTTGGACTGAAAAATGCACCTGGAACTTCTCAGCGCTTGATCGATCAGTTTCGACGTGGACGCAGTAACGTATTAGTGCTAGCATACCTAGGCGATATCTGTGCGCTCTCTAGGACTTTTGAGGAACATATCGAGGACTTAAAACTCGTGTTTTCACGTCTTTTCTAATTCAATATACGAGCCAAACGTGAGAAGTACAACTTTGCGTGTAAGATTGTTAAATACCTTGGTCATTTGATCACTCCTGATGAAATTTCCGTGAATCCGGAAAAAATGGCAGCAATTGCGAATAGACCTACTCCCCGTGACGTTAAGCAAGTGCTTTCGTTCTTGCAGTCGTGTAGCTGATATCGTCGCTTTGTGAAGGACTTTGCCGCCATTTCACGTCCATTGAGAGACCTAACTAAGAAAAACGCACCATGACAATGGACTGAACAGCATCAGAACTCGTTTGATACTTTGAAAAATGCACTTATCACAGTTCCAGGGCAATCAAAAACAACCCATTGAGTATGCCAGTAGTATACTCACTGCATGCGAGAAAGACTGCCTACTCGACGTCCGAGCGCGAAGCACTTGCTGTTGTGTGGGCGCTTGACAAGTTCAGAGGATACATCGAAGGAATGCCCATAACTGTGCAAACCGACCATCAGCCTTTGAGATGGTCGCTCAACCTTGAATCGCCAACTGGTAGATTAGCCAGGTGGGCTTTACAAGTTCAGAGTTACGACCTGAGGATAGAATATTTACCTGGTGAAAGGAATGTAGTAGCAGATATGTTATCCAGGCCTCCATGCAATCACAAGACCAAGGAGTTTTGTGATATTTGCACCGTAACAATATAAATGCCGAGACGATCAGCATCAGACATCCGAAACGAGCAATTGAAGGACCCTGATTTGGAAAAAAAAATTAAAGGTTTCGAAGACACGTCAAGTGATGAATTTTTCAAATGGACACAAACGGTGTTCTATACAGATATTCCTGTGAAGACGCGGACACTGAGAAAGCCCAACTTGTTGTCCCGACGCATAAACGGTGAACGGGAAAAAATTTTAAAGAATTATCACGACGAATCAGCAGCGGCTCATTACGGCGCTGAAAGAACTTTACTCCGGATAGCAAAGGGTTATTATTTCACTGGAATGCGATGTTTTGTGACGGAGTATGTGAAGATTTGTATCGAGTGTCAACGGTATACGGCCTAAAATCAAAAGCCAGCAGGTTTGATACAAACGCCAACCTATGCTCAGAGATTTGAAACACTTTACATGGATTTATTTGGACCTCTTCCAGAAGATGCTAGTGGTAACAAATGGATAGTAGAAGATAGCTCTATACCAAATGGGTGGCGCTTTTCCCTATAAAGAAAGCAACGGCAGAGGAATATGCTTGTAATCTCATTAATGAAGTTTTTTTTACGTTATGGTTTGCCAAGGAAAATCATTAGTGATAACGGGACACAGTTCGTCACATCTGTCATGCAGCAAGTATTTTTTTGTGCTAAACATCAAGGAAAAATTCATTCCATTGTACTATGCGTCAGCGAATACGGTTGAACGCAAAAATCGGGATTTGAAACTAAGACTAGCAATTTTAGTGGGGGATAATCACACCACTTGGGCAGAAAAACTACCAACAATTTGGTTTGAAACGAATACTGCGAATTGTGATGCAACAGGTCATACTGCATCCTATTTAAATTTTGGACGGGAGCTCCGGACCCTTGATGACATACAAAATGATATTCGAGTCATATTTGAAAATGAGAATTTTGTACCACAGATAACTCTTTATTTGATGAAAATGGCTAATGGTATGAAGCTCGAGATATCAACGAAAAACGCCAGGATTATCAGAAAAACGACGCCGGTAAAAATCGAAAAGCTGTAGAACCCTTCAAAGTCGGTGACCACGTTTGGATAGCTACCCATGCCCTTAGCAGTGCTGCTAAGCAGAAAACCCCGAAATTTAACCCCAAAAGAGATGGACCTTACCAAATAGTGGGGAAAGTTTCTTCAGTAAGCTATGAAGTTGCGGGCATACAAGAATCAACAATACCCTTGGGGCGACTTCAGTGGTACCAATACAAAAACGAGGAAGACCTCCGAAAAAGAAGGTGAATCCAGTTGAATGTAACATCACACCTGGGACATTCTGGACGAGGGTTACTTTGCGACGGGATAAGAAATCAACGAGTCGGCCAATGATTATTTTTTTGTTGTTGTAAAATACTTGAATTGTTTAGTTTCCATAAATGTAATACTATGATGTAGTAGAAGTTTTAGATTGTAAAAAGCTATGTATGTTAAAAAGTTATTGTCCAGCAGTCCAGCAATATAATCAAGATTTTATTAACAGTGAACAGTTTACGTGTATTTGGGATCTAGGACATAAAGACACAAGGTTGTGTTAGAAAATGCATGGAAAACAGTAGCAGTTATTACTGAGGCTACAGGTAAAGGAAGTTTAAAATACTTGAAAGATCTACAAGTTCTCTTTTCAGTTGACGAATGCCAAAATCTATAGAAGAGTATAAGAATAAAGTACCTAAGACAGAGGAAAGCAATTCAAAATATCCCATCAGGATCTGCAGGTGGATATACTGGCATATGGAAACATTTCGAAAAGTTGGGAATTTCGGATCCCCACATACAAACAAGAAGGTAGTCGCACAATCAAAATAGTTTATTGGAAAATGAATACTAAAACTAATTAACGCGGTGACAATAAAATATTACAAAATACAAGTGTCCATGAACCACTGTCTTGTTTTAAATTGGTTGATACCTACTTCTATTTTAAATGTGTCGTCATCTTGATTGACTTAAATGAATAAACATTTATTATTTCAATGTACAAGATAGTATTATCGAGTTAATTATATAATTTTTTAGAACAACTCGCAATATCCTCAAAAGAAAATTGAAGCAGCCCTCATCTGATTGGCAAACAGTGTTTACTGAAGGTGACACGGTTGAGTCTATTGCTGTTGAATCGGAACCACCCGACTATCCAAAAACGAAGTTTGAATCCATAACTGATGACCCACAGTCTGAAATACCTTCATCTTATGCTGCTAATTCTGAATTTCCAAGATCAGCGACACCAGAAAGTAGTCAATTAGGGCTAGATAGAACGGTTGCTACTTCTGCTACACCTATTTTGAAATCATTTGGCTCTTCCTTACAGGTTCCACTAAAGACACGAAATTTAAGTCAATTAAGACAGGACCGGAACTCTAATATCAGAAAGAAAAAAATCGGTAAACCTTTAGAAAGCCCTCGAAAAAGGCTTCTTGACCAATGTAGTAGTATTGGGAAAAATATAAATACATTCGTAAGGCAAAGCACTAACGCTGTTGGGGAAAGTTATATTGACAAAGATGACTTTGCAATTTCTATGGCAGAATCACTAAAAAAGGTAAAGGGTGAAAAAAAGAAAATAATTCTCAAGTCAATTTTAGTTTGGATTGCCGATGAAAGTGATTATGATGAATAAAGAAAAAATATCTTTATTTCATTAGGTGACTTTTGACAATTATTATACAAGATACAACTATAAAAAATACTAAATATAAAATAACAAAATATAAAATATTAAAGAAAACATCAAATATGAAAAAATTTATATAATTAGTGTTTTGTCTTATTGATATATTTTTTTATATATTCCATATTGACAATTGATTTTCTCTCTTTTGAATATTTTTTTGAAACTCTTCCAGGTTATGGAGTTCTTCAACTGTTGAGTAGATATAGAAATTAGATTCTTTTATTGCAGGTAGAGGTACCTACTTACATTGTCATTACTTTAAATTTCTGCACATGATTTACATTGCTTGTGATTTTGCAATAATTATTATCAGAAAAGGTAAATTTATCATTTATCGTGTAAAGAAATATTGGCCCCAGAAAACAAAGGTGTTACTAAGCAAAATTCATGGTAGTCGGGTTTTATTTTTTTGCCGAATTTGTAATCTGCACCCCAAAAACCATCCCATTTCTGGGGGGGGGGAGGGGGAAAGTTAAAGGGGAATCCAGAGGGAAATTTCAAGCTCATTTACTTTTCCAGATATCGTGAAGTCATAGGCAGAGTAAGCTCTGAACAAGTACGTAAGCCGAACGCAGATCGAAGAAAAAAACAACAGAATGGTGTAAATAGCAGCGCCGGCCTTAGGGGGGGTGTAGAGGCGCTAAATTGCGGTGGCAAAATTTAAGAGGCGGTAAATTGAGAAAATTAATCAAAATAGAAATAATTAAAAAATCGAACGGTATTCAGAAGGCAGCTTTAGCTTTACCCAGGTAAAACTAAGAACAAGGCAACGAGAAACGAGAGGCAACAGAAAGCTTACAAGAATTTGAAACCGACATCCGCCGTCTGGTTAATTTGGCCTATCCGGAAGCATCAACATAAATGCGGAAAAGTTTCAGAAGCAATCAACAGGGAACATGACCAGATAGCCATTTATCTAGTTTCCATGACGTCAATTCAAGAGAAGAAGAGCCATGCATACATGAGGATAGATGTGGGAAGTCAAGATGGCCGAGCGGTTTAAGGCGCTGCGTTCAGGTCGCAGTCCACTTAGACAGGCATATAGATGTTAGGCAAGAGAAAAGATTGAGACATTATGGATTTGAGGAGTGGAGATATAGACGAAAAAGAGGACGTGGTGCGTCTTGGTAGTCAGATCAGGACGATCTGATTTAGAAGGGAGGCAGTGTTACGATAATGCATTGACATCGCGGCGCCGGGACTCCAAGAAATTGAATTCGTCGCTTGTTCACGTTGGCCAGTGTATTTTTTTCTAGAATTCTATTATATTCGATTCGATGTTTTCTAGCTAAATCCCGATTGCAATTTCGCCTATATAAATAGAGCGTGTGTGAATTTTTATAGTCAATTAGTTTAATAAAGGTTGTTACTGTTTGTGAAGTGAGTTGAACCCGGAATCCGTGACAGTATTTATATTTATTTCTTCTGATAAACTGTCAGGTATGCGATCTGACGGATGAAAACGCAATCTGGTCGGCCAATTATCCGTCGACCAATAGAATTATAGAACGGTAAGTTTATCTTGCAGATAGTTACCAGCAAGTTTATTTGAAGGTGAATAAACCGGGCCTTAGCACAAAATTTGAAATAAATATTTGGTTTTTAGGACATGATATGGGTTGCGTGGTGTTAATTCTTTTGAAAAAAAAATGTATATTATTTTTCTGCACTAATTTCACATAGGTACTGCTACTCTGTGTAAAAATAGACATTTGAAAAAAATTAAGTATCGACCCTTGGATCGACCCAATTTTATTTTATTTTTTTTCCCTAAATCAAAATCTAGGAAAATAAGTTTTTCCTAATAAGTATCCCCCAAAATTTTCTCACTCTAGCTTGAAGCTCCTATAATTTATCACTCTTTTTTACTTTGTTCTTATTTTCTTGAGTTTATTTGTGATATTAATAATTGTTGCTTAATTTGGTTAGTTTATTAGTGTAATACCCATGTATGTTTTTTTAACTTTAATAACTAGGAACAGGAACCTTGGGGCGGTGGGATTTGAACTGCACCCGGCGGTAAATCAGGTAAAGCCGCCACTGGTGAAAGGCCAAATTCATGTTCTCCTGGGAATATAAGTACTAAACTTAAACTGATTCGGTGTTAGGTGTTAGTGTAAAACTGGGGCAGCACGGCTTTTACCAACAGAATACAGTACTAGATAATACAGTTCTCCAAACATAAATGTATACCCATTCTAGCAGCTAGCTTTGCAACTTGCAAAGAACAAAGAACAATAACAAAAAATTTTTATTTGATAATAATATTTTACTTAACCCTCAAGCCACAATATTTTTCATCTCATAAATTTTTATTTATTTTTTATTTACCTAAAAAAATAGAGATCCTGGGGGGGGTAATTACCCCCTCTACCCCCCCATATCTACGCCCTTGATAAGAGCGCATTTCTACCTAATAATCTGAGTTTTTCTTATGTTTGTGTCCAGAGCTAAGGTAAGTTGAGCATTAAGTGAATTTTCTGATTTTTTCTTTTTTGCTTATCAATTCTTTTGCTCAAAAGATTTAACAGGTGTTCAATAAATGATCATGCTCTGAAATTCAATAATAGATAAGCTAGTGGCTGTTAGCTTTCTCAAGCCAAACAGGGATCCAACTGCAATTGACCATATTAGTTAGGTTAGGAAAAATCGGGCGCGAAATTTGAAATGGGTTCCTAAACACATTTCAACAAATTTGACAGCAATGCATTTCTTATCGGGGATCCAAAAGAGAAATTTTCACTTTGATTATATTTCCCTGCAATTCATGCTCTAATTGTATTTTTAGACCTATGAAATAAAAATACAAATGATTATGATTAAAAGTGTTGTTTCCGTGGACATACGTCGGGTGTGATGCCACCTGTGAGAAAGTGAGATTGTGTGTTGTGTTATGATTGTCGGCGAGTTATTTATTTATTTATTTATCACTCGTTTAGTTATTGTTTATCGATTTTTTTAGATTATTGAGGTAACATCTACTAACCAAGTATGTAGGTACACTTTTATTTTAATATAATTATAGGTACCGACAGGGTGTATCAGGAAGGAATACAAATATTTTAACATGAGATAATATGGCCCATTTCAAGCAAAACTGTCCTATTAAAGGGGTGTGACCCTAAAATGACTTAAGCTACTTAAATCAAGAAAAAAATTCTAAGATCTCTCGTGAAAACCGCAGTCCTATATTCAAAATAGTCTCCGAGAAAATTCCTTGTTAAGATAAATTATGCAGGAACTTGTGATGTCACAACCGCCGAAATCGCAGTCTCCTGTTCGTTCAGTCTTCAGTGAACCGTACCCTATACTTTGAGTGGTTGCAATTCGCTCTAGTGAGTAGTTGTCTTTTGTTTTGGAAAATGCTTACACGTGTTAATACTGTCCCTGATAATTCAGTGTGACGTCACACACCTAGTTGTAACTTTAAGCCGCCCTAACTCGAAATCCGACCATCGTAGCAAGATGCGGTTTAAATATTTATTCATAGATTCTGCTCTTAAACTTTCATTTTTGGGTCACACCCCCTTTAACCGTGGGTCAATTGTTAGTATTTCCGGAGTTATCGCAGAATTTAAACTTAAAGAAAAATGTTAACAACGTGACAACATTGTACAGATATTATCTCTGCCAGGATATAAATGTAAATAAAACTGGTAAATTAAAAAGATTTTTTTTGCAAGGAGTTTATTTATTTCCATCTGTTTACGTTTTGGTTTGTTATTGGCTCTCAAATAATGTAAATAATAAATTGAATTTTTATCACATTCTAGTAAAAATGAAAAATGTGCCGTTAGTTGTGAATTGCACTTAATGATATTTTTGCACTAAACATTCAAGAGAAAAGTTAAATAATACTTAGGTAGGTACTCAGCTACTTGCTAAATCCTTATTATGAAAATATCATTTTTAATTAAAAGGTTCCCAAAACACTAAAAATCAACGCTAAAATCAACAAGTAGATTTTGCACTCTCACACTTCCCGTATCACGCAATCTTTGTAAAACGGGCACAATGTTCTTTCATGGGCGCAGTTACAGTGGGAAATCCTTTCCTGTAAATTCTGGCGGCTTAATGAGCATTTTGCAACGATTCTGGCTAAACAAGTATCTGCATTATTCGACGTTTGTAAACATTTTATTTTCAAAAAAGAATGCGTTTCCAATACTTCAACTAACTGACATGTCAAGACAAATCAAGAATCAGTTCAACCACGTTTTTGTGTTATGTTGCCAGATGTTGAGATACCGAATCATGAGTAAAATTGTCATGTTGTTTTTTCGGTTTTTTATTATTGTTATTGACTAAAAATGCCTAATTACTTAATAATTAATCGAACTTAATTTTTTTATATGTACAGGGTGTCCCATTTAAGATGGTATTGGGGGTTATCTGCTAAACTCGTAGAGGTAGATTTTTTTTGATTTCACATTCCTGGGCCAATGTTTTATGACGGATCGAATGCCGCAAGCCGCAAGTCTCTATCTCGTACCGTTTCGAAGATACAGGGTGAAACTTGAAATTCTCACTTTTCGAGGCAAGTCATTATTTCGCGTAAGAAGAAATATATCAGAAAAGTGAAAATTGTATCTGACGCAGTTTTTTACGTAGATTCCATTGGCGTACTGCAATTTTTTTTCCAAGGTACCGTTTAAGAGATATGACTCAAACTTCATCTTTTTTAAATGGGACACCCTGTAAATTTTTACATTTCTAGAATATGCATAAAATTACCTTTCCAATGATATATAGTTTGTCTATATTTTGTTGTAATTTGCTAATATTTTTATGGTATTTAAAACTTTCCATAAGAAATAAGTCTTGCAAATCACATTGAATATTTGGTTTAATTTTTTGGTGTGAAAAACTTATAATTTTTTGATATGGGACACTAATAATAATAATAATAATAATAATATAACGTTTATTAAACAAAATAGTTACAA